GAGAACAGTGAGGAAACCATGGACGTGCCCCAGAAAAGCAGACATGGCACCAAGCATGGCACACTCGGGGAGAAGAAGGCCAGGGTGAAGCTGTGGCCATCGAGGACGCAGCAATGGTATTGAAGAGAACGAGCTGTTACAACACACCACTGGGATAAACACCACCAAACCCAGCTGGAAAATGGGAATTCCTCACTGGAACCACCAAGAACTCAAGCAGAACCCCTCCAGAGACCCGCTGGTCACCAGAGCTCCAGCTGCTCCCCCTCTCCATCCTGGTTTAAGGGAAACGTCACACACACACAAAATCCAACCAAAAGTCTCCAAAAAGCTACAAAGAGGACAAGCTCCTTCCCCTTCCCCTCAGCTCCAGAGACAACCAGGACATTCAGTGCCAAAGTCTGCACTGGCCAAACAAAAAGCAAGGGAAACACCCCCAAACCAGCTGAACACCCAGGACCAATGGGGACTGGGAGCAGGGGCTGTCCTGGGTCTGTGGCAGCCAAACCCAACGGCTGTGGGACAGAGACCCCAAAATAAACACCCCCTTCCCTCAGGCTCCCCCTCATGCCTCTCCCAGGCCCAGCACATGCTGGGGGTCCCTGCTCCACTCAGGATCCACAGGGTCCTCTCTAGTATCTTCCCCACCCCTGGAAGTGTCCAAGGGCCAGGCTGGACGGGGCTTGGAGTAACCTGGGCTAGTAGAAGGTGTCCCTGCCCATGGCAGGGTTGGAATAATTGGGATTTAAGGTCTCTTCCCAACCAAAGCATTCCCTGATTCCATGGTAGGTATTAAGCCAACATTTTTCCCTTTTAGAAAATCTGAGTGATTTTATCCCCAGAGGGAAGAACCTCCTCCAGCACCGGAAGCTGCCAGTGCTTCACTGGGAATCTGGGAGGAAATATCATCTCTGTCACCTGTTTATAGATTCATGGAATGGTTTGGGTGGGAAGGGACCTTAGAGCTCATCCCAGTCCACCCCCTGCCATGGGAAGGGACACCTTCCACCAGCCCAGGTTGCTCCAAGCCCCGTCCAGCCTGGCCTGGGACACTCCCAGGGATGCAGGGGCAGCCACAGCTGCTCTGGCCAACCTGTGCCAGGGCCTGCCCACCCTCCCAGGGAGGAATTTCTTCCTAATTTCTAAACTCTAAACGATTCCTGCTGTTCCTCTCCCCTGCAGCCAGCCCCAGATCCAGGGAGCAGCCCTGGGCCTCGTGCACAAACATTTGGAGGGTGCTCACCCCAGGGCAGTTGTGTTCCCAGGAGAGGCTGGAATGCCAAGAGGGAGCTCAAAGAAACCTTCCTCCAAGTGCAAGAAAAACACAGAAAGAGCCGCAGAATGTCCTGAGGAATTCAGGCAGGGAGGAAGGGTGAATGCTTCTGCAGCTCCAGGAACAGGCTGGGGGCCAGGATACCACTCCCCCAGAGGATGGGAACTCACCACTGCTCTTGCCCACGGCCTTGCACCACAAGGCCACACACATCTCAACATTCCCTGTGCACTGGGAACTCCTAAAGCCACACTACATTGGGTATAAACACCAAAAAAAGCAAGAGCCTTTGGAAAAAAGTCATGGAAATGACATTAAATCCCTGGTTTTGATGGATATCCCATTGACACCATCAGGGAGATCCCACTGCTCAACATAACGAAGTCACAAGCACCACTCACCATCTCCTGGTTTATTTACTGCCTGGACTGTGCATGGACATGAACCCCTGGGGGAAGGAATCTCGGAATGCCCTGAGCTGGAAGGGACCCACAGGGATCCTGAGCCCAGGCCAAGAAGCCAGGGTGGGACAGGAACTTTATCAGTGCTGGAATCACAGGGACAGGGGAAGTTTTGGGAATTATTAACACACCATGAGATGCTCCAGAGCACTCCAGGCACATCCCAACCCCCAGGGGCTTTGGCTGCTCCAGCCTTGGCACAACCTGCAGATCTGGGCCCAAACCTGCTCCATGCAGACGGAAACAATTCCATTTTCCCCCCAAACTCAGGCAGAGCCACGTCAGGATGAGCCGCCACAGAAATCCCCAGAGTGAATAAACCTTCCTGAGGCTCCCAGAAACTCCAGTGTCCCATTTTCCATGGAAACACACCCACTTTGTGATTAATCCTTGGAAATAACTGCAGGGGTGTTGTGAGCAGGGCGGGCACGGCACTGTCACCGGGAGCAGGACCCCAGCCCAGCCCCTTCCCGGGCATTTACAGGAACACCACGGACCCAGGTGCTGCTGTGTGATCCCACTGCCACTCAGGGAGCCTCTGCAGCCACGGGCTGCAATGGACACTGGGCTGGAGCAGCCTGGAGCATCCTCCACACGCCAGGGTCACACCTGGCCAGGCTTGGGGCGGTCCTGGGAGGAAGCAGGAGGTGTCACAGACCTCCAGGGACCCCCAGTGCCACCCATCCCCCCTCCAGGGACCCCCAGTGCCACCCATCCCCCCTCCAGGGACCCCCAGTGCCACCCATCCCCCCTCCAGGGACCCCCACTCCGCTTCCCAGGACACGGATCTCCCCACACACCACTCCAGCCATTGCTGCATCCACACGGATTTTCCTGTGCCCAAACTCTCCCTGTCACTCTTTACCACAGATTAAAATAGCCCAAAAACATCCCATCTGAGGCTCCAGGTTTGTCCCTGGGATCTGGGATCCCCAGCTCAGGGAGCACATGGAGCAGGAGGTTAAAACCCTTCAGAATCTCCCACTATTTGTCCAGCACAGGAAAAAATTCCACCTTATTGCATTTATATATATTTTATACATCTAGCTCCCAGTGAGATTCCTTCACAGAGTGGACTTTGGGGTTGGGATCAGCTGAGTTTGCCACAAAAGTCAGTTCAGGAGACAAATTCTAAACCAGCCCTTGGGGTTCAGTTGGTATCGTGTCATTAATAACCAATTTTGATGAGTTTAAAACTCTTTTAATTCCTCTCTGAGCCCTGCACACCCCTCAGGGACCCCAGAAGTCAGCCTGGGCTCTGCTTTGCCTGAGGAGGGGAATCACAGAATGATGGAGTCGTGGGATGGTTTGGGTGGAAAGGGACCTTAAAACCCATCCAGCTCCACCCCGTGCCATGGGCAGGGACACCTTCCACCAGTCCAGGTTGCTCCAAGCCCTGTCCAGCCTGGCCTGGGACACTCCCAGGGATCCAGGGGCAGCCACAGCTTCTCTGCCCAACCTGTGCCAGGGCCTCCCCACCCTCCCAGGGAAGAATTTCTCTCCAGTATCCCATCTAACCCTGCCCTCTGGCAGTGGGAAGCCATTCCCCCTTGTCCTGTTCCTCCATCCCTTGTCCCAAGTCCCTGTCCTGCCACAGAGCTCAGGGATGCAGCGGCTTCACCAGCCCCCCAAATTAGGGACAACCAGCACCCAAATGGAGTTCCTCAGCCAGGTCACTTGGGAACAACCTGAGGGGGGACTCGGTGTCACTGAGGCCAGCACTGCACTCCCTGCAGGGATCACACCCTGATTTCCAGGGAATTATGGAATGGCTTAGGGTGGAAAATCGCTCTGAGACCCCCAAGTCCACCCACCCCCCAGCACTGCCAAGGACACCCCTGGCCATGTCCCCAAGTGCCACATCCACAGGGATTTTAAATCTCCCCAGGGATTGTGTGTCCACCCCTGCCAGGGCTGCACAGCCCTTCCCAGGGGGGAATTCTCCCAATATCCAACTAAACCTCCCCTGGCACAGCCTGAGGCCGTTCCCTCTCCTCCTGTCCCTGTTCCCTGGGAGCAGAGCCCGACCCCCCCGGCTCCCCCCTCCTGTCAGGGATTGCAGAGCCAGAAGGTCCCCCCTGAGCCTCCTTTTCTCCAGGCTGAGCCCCCCCCGCTCCAGGTGGGGCTGATCCCGGCACTAGGACCCGGGAGCCGCTGGATTCTGCGCCCTCCCGGCGGCTCCGCAGCACCGCAGCCCCCGCGGGTCCCTCCGGCGCAATCCCGGCTCGGCAGGGATGGGAACGGGATCGATGCTCCGTAGCCACAGCAACGCCCGGACACGCCAAGGACGCGGCGGGAGGTCAGTGCATTCCAGCTCATCCCCATCCAACCACCCCCCCCCCGGCATTCCCGGCCAATTCCAGGTGGGATCATTCCCAGGAAAGCCGATTTGGCCGCGTCCCTGCTCCGCTCCATCGCTGGGGAATGGGAGCGGCAGAACTGCCCGTTCCCTGCGGGACTTTGCTCGGCTACAGGAGCAGCAGCCCCGGATTTCCTCCCTCCCAAACCCCCCGGGATCCTGCTCCGAGCAATTCCCAGCCCTAAACTTCTCGCCCTCATTCCTTACGGAATTCCTGGCCACCCCCCTCCCTCAGAGGGCAGGTAAAGGAGGGCGTGGGGGGGGAAATACCCGGGGATTCCATAATCCATAAACCCCTTTCCACCAACACCCCAACCCCTGGAACGCCCCAGTTCAGGGAAAACTGCAATCCACGGAGCACCCCAATCCCTGGAACACCCCAATCCCTGGAACACCCCAATTCATGGAACACTGCAATCCCTGGAACACCCCAATCCCTGGAACACCTCAATCCCTGGAACACCTCAATCCCTGGAACACCCCAACCCCTGGAATAGCCAGCTGCAGAGCCGAGAGGCCGATCCAGCCAGGGCCCTGGCACCCCAGCTCCTGCATCCCTGCCATCCTCACCACCCAGCTCCTGCATCCCTGCCATCCTCACCACCCAGCCCTGCCCTCCTATTTTCCATTCTTCAGGCATTTTTCCAACAAACAAACAGGGCAGACTGGAAATGGTGCAAACCCCCCCCCAGAATTTTCCTTTGCCGCATGGGGGTGGAATTTGGGGCTCTGGATCATCAGTCACACGTGACTGCCTGGACAGCCCCAACAGCTCCTCAGGCTGAAATCCATTAGAACTCCTTGAAATCCATTAAAATTTCCCCGTCAGACACACCTAAGGGATCTAATCCCCGTTCAAACCCGCAGCCCTGAGGGAGGCGACAGGGGACAGGCACCACCCGACAGGCACCACCCGGCTCCTCGGGAACAGAGAGAGGCAGGAATGAAGGAATCGCTCCAAGGTCACCTGGGCAGGTGCTCCAACACCCGGCACGGACCCTCCAGCAGCCCCGGGAAGGTGCCCTGGGAGAGCCCCGGGCTCCGGGAATCTCTGATGGACACGAGCACACCCGGAATTCTGGATGGTGGACACGGAAACCCAAAAACGCTGCATGGAACTGGGGCCTGCCGGGACCCCACGGCCCGGGAATGGCATGGGAAGGTCCATCCCAACCCAGCCAGTCTGGATCCTGGAATTCCCAGAGCCCCCGGAGCAAGGGATGGCACCAGCAGAGCCCCCGGGACGTGGTGACCCCTCAGAGCCCACACAGGTACGGCCCACCTGGACCCCCTTAATTAACTGCGGTTGGTTAATTTAATTGAGGTAATTAATTAACAGCTAATCCATCTCATTGTTTATTCACATATTGTGCTCTGATGGAATTCCCAGCCAGCAGAATTCCCGGCTGGAAGGGGCTCTGCCTTCCCTGCATCCAGGACTGGGAAAATCCAGCCCTGCCAACCCCAACAAGCTCCTCCCAGTTAGTAATTAATTAACAGAGAATTGATCAGATTAATTAATTATTCCAGCGTTGTGCTAAGCGGGGCTGACAGAATTCCCAGCAGCCAGAACTCCCTGCTGGAAGGTGCTGGGCCTGCCCTGGATGCAGGACCGGGAATCCCCAGCCATGCCAACCCTGCTCCGTCCCTGCCAGCCCTAACGAGCTCCCCCAATTAGCCCGGGCACTAATTACCGCCTCACTCCCACCGCGGTTCCGCACCAAACCTCCCCACTCCCACAGTGCCATCCCGACGGACTGCGGGGTTTTCCTTCACCCCAGACCCCCCTCAGCCCCCCGGGAGCCCCCGACATTCCTCAGGGAGCAGAGCGTTCTGGCACTGCGCTGGGAAAAGGGGAATTGCGGTGGGAACAGCCCTGGGATCCGCAGCCACAGCAGGGCCTGGGAGAGAGGGGGGCCCTGAGGGGGAACCTCGGGAATGGGGGGCCTCGGAGGGGCCAGGGAATGGGGATCTTTGGGGGTCCCTGGGGAATGGGGGGACCCCACAGGAGGTAACAGACCCTGCAGTGACCCCCAGACCCCTAAATTTACCCAGACTGCAAAGACCCCCCCCCACATCTTCACACCACACTCCACAGACCCCCCCCCGAGAGACCCCCACACAGACCCCCAAACGCTCCCGTGCCTCCCACACCTGCCTTTAGACCCCCCAAAATCCCCACTAGCTCCTCGTACAGACCCCC